GCCCGGGGATGCTGTTACCTCTGCTCCACCTGCCGCTGCCGCAGTACGTCTCTGACAAGGGCCATCCGCACCAGCGCGCTGCCGTTGGCATGGCTCCAGCACCAGAGCTGGGGGGGCAGGCCGTTACTGACCCGCAGGGCCACACGCCCCACCCACCAGGCCCACCCCAGGCCTTACCGGCGTCCTCCTCCCAACGAAGCAGTGGGAGAGGGTCCTCAGGTCCTGGTCTGCCAAGGAGCTGGGCACCACGAAGTACTCCGGGAGGCTGCGGACGGCAGGGCGCTGGTCAGGGCTGAGTTACTGCAGGCCACGGGGCAGGCAGCCACCCGCCCAGCAGCCACAGCGGGCCCTGCCGGCCCGGACACGGCAGTCCAGAGGTGCGGGCCGCATCCATCCTCACAGATACACATTTGCAGCATGAGGAGTCGGCCGATGTGGACATGCGTGGCTGAGACACCCTCTCCTCTAGGCCGGCTGGGTAAGGGGATGCCCGCGGACAGAAGCAGAGCCACACCACAGAGTCCACAGAGCTCACGCCCCCGCCTTCCCACACGTACCGCCAGACACAGCGGGCGCCGCCCCTGCCAGCCGCCCGCCACATGTGCTCAGCACCTGCACCAGAGCATGTGGCCGCGGGAGTGAGGTTTGAGGGCGTGGAGGACACAGGCCTCGGCTGAGGTGCCCAGCAGCAGCCCTCCTGGGGGGCGCATGCAGGGTCCTAGTCACATGCTCCCGCTCTCACAGGAACTCATCAGCCTGAACTCAGAACGTCAGCGATGTTAGAACGTGTCCACGGGGACCAGCAGTTGGCACAAAGGCTGCCACTGGACTCCCACGTAGTCGACCGCAGTTTGAGTCCCAGACCCGGTGGCTTAAACTCACGCCAGGCGTGTGCATGTGTGCCCAAGATCCCGAGAGGAGAATGGAGGAGAAGGGATTGTGGTGTGGCCATCCCCTGAGGGGTGACTTCTCGCTTTCTGTCTCTCTGGTGACTGCACACGCCCTATACCAAAAACCTCTCCCAAAAAAACGTGCTCCAAAGAGCCATGAGTATTAATGATGGAAAACTGCAAAGACAATCCCAGTCCCTTTGGAGGAAGTGGCTTCTGGAGAAGCTCCTCGTGCCCGTCGTCAGGGAAACAGTAACTGTCTACACTGCCTCTCTGCATGGATGGCATTTCAGGGTCCTAAAGACAGAGCAGAGAAGTGGGCGGGATGAGAACCGAACACCCAGTGGCAACCCTTCAGGGGCAACTATTCGGTCAGGCCTCACTCCCACAGAGGCCAGGGCCACGATCCAAGAGGTGACTTTGTACTGGTGACCACGCTGACGGCCCAGGGCTTAGTAGCGAGAGCCAGTGGAGGCCACGGCATGGTGAGAGGCACGCGGCGGCACCTAACGAGGCCTCCTGGCAGGACCCTGACCCCGCGCCTAACCACCTAGAGCAGCCGCCACTTTATAGGAAGACAGCAGGTGACGGGAATGCAGCAAAGGCCACCACAGGGACGGAAAGACCTGTGACCAGGATAGAGCTGCCCACAGCAGGATGACCTGCTGAGTCAACAGGAAACGGGAGGGGAGACGTGGAGGAGGGGCCATGACAGAACGGGACACACTGACTACATGGTCGACAGGGACGCTGTGGACACCACGTCCACGAGCCCTGACTGCCCCACCGTGGGCAGAGCTTCTGGCACAGGGTGGTGTCACTGGGGCTCACCGGGAGACCATGCAGCCCTCGATGGAGCACCCCACCCCACCTCACCCCAAGGACTCATGGGGGAGACCATGCAGCCCTCAATGGAGCACCCCACCCCACCCCACCCCAAGGACTCACCGGGAGACCATGCAGCCCTCAATGGAGCACCCCCAAGGACTCACCAAGTGGAGACCATGTAGCCCTCGTTGACGGAGCATACTCTCCACCCAGAAGCACCTGTCCTGTTGACCTCTCTGTCCCAGTCAGAGTAAGTTTCAAACAGTGGTGTTTTCTGGCCACCGCCTCCTGATGGTGCCCCGGGACTGCCACAGACTGCAGGGAAAGCAAATCTCACTGACTGTGCCTCGCAGCCCTGTCCCGGCCACACACGCACCCTGAAGTGCCCGCTCTGCCTGTTGTAGGACCCCCACCCAGAGAGCCCACTGGTCCTGCCCTGCCCAGCTCCTCCCCGCCGCCTTAGACACCGCTGGTCTCTGCCAGTTCCCAGCCCTGCAGACCCAGGCAGGGAGGCGTGGCCCCGCCCAGCCCGCTCGAGCTCCTGCACCACGCTGCTCCTTCTCCAGTGGTGCTGGACGCCTGCTGCCATCTTGCTCCACCACCACGCCCCCCC